CAACACATCAACAATATCCTTACTCAACCTTGGATTCCCTGTCACCAGCTTCCTTGTCCCCTTCTGCCTTCTGGCCCTTGTCACTGGACTACTGTACCTCATTAGTCCCATTTGGTTTTACGGGGCTGTCTTGAGGTTTTATTTTATGGGCCTTGTTATGTTGAGGCATTTTAGGAGAAAGTAGGCTCTACTAACTCTAGCTTGGGCTCCGCTCAGAAGCAGATTTTATCAAGAGCATGGTTCCTGATAGTCTTCAGAACCTTCTCTTACTGTGTGAAGGCTACTGTAGGGAAAAGAAAGAGCTTATGAAAGAAACAGCCTTCCTGTGCTGTGGACAGGTGCACAGCTGTCTGAGAGTGACAGAGTCAGTGTACTAGTCTTCTGATCTGTTGGCAGTCTTGGGCACTTTCCTGGTTGTGCCCCTTAGGAGTTCTGTTTATTCTTTTCCTCATCCATCTCAAGCCTGTTCCTCAGCTCAGAGGTAGAGACTTTGGGGAAGTCGACACTGACGAAGGGAATCTGGAGAGTGGAGAGGCGAGGAACCACAGAGTGTGCTGTCAAGGAAGCCCAGCTGGGAGAGATTCCAAATGGGTATGCCGGCTGGGAAGCATCCCCATGCGCCAAAGAGTAACCCCAGGTTATGGCTTAGTGAGTCTTGAGGTTGGGAGCATGGTTTTAAGTGGCGGAGTCAGACCGTATTGTGGTGTGTTGAGGAATGAACAGTAGTGAAGTGGAGAATAGGCACCAGGGTAGAGGGAGGGTGTTTAACTAAAAGCCAGGAGAGACTTGAGCATAAGAGTAGACAGAAAGGAAGGCACCTGAAAGAAACAAATGTCCATGCCCCTGAGAGTGAGTGGAGGCTTCAGGCAAGGTTGGCATGGATGGGTCCTCAAGCAGGCAGGGGGGGTGCTTTGGGTGGCGATTAGTGGGGGAGGCAGGAGAAATTGGTTTTCTCTGAATGAATCATGTCATTTGTAGAGTGAGGTAGTAGAAAAGGAGCAGTCCTGTCTTTCCGTCAAGATTTGGCTAACATTGTGGCTTTCAAACTCTGTTTTTTCAAGTGAAATTTTATACATAATCCTTTGTCATAAAATACATAGACGGCCTTCTTCAAAGTAGAGCCCAGTGTGTATACCTCTGCCGTTGGAATAAGCCCACCTACCCCGCCTGTGCCCTCTGTTTGGCCAGTGGAGCTGTGAGCTGTTCTCTTAGGAGCACCCTAGAACTGGCCTCCTTGTCCCACAGCACGGGCCGCCCGAGCCCAGCACTCTTGCATGCATGGGTTGGCTTGCACTCTTCGGTTTCTCAGTAACAAACTTCAAATCATACAACCCAACTGCCACAACCAGATAGTGCCTGGTCCAGTGAGTCCCACACTTTGTCAATATGACAGCATTGCCACATTGCTAGTATATTCACAAGAATAAATAATAAAACATATGAAAGAAAATATACTGAAAATTTTATTTTGCTGTCTTTTGTCTGCTTGGTTCTGCCCCTCACCTATTTTCTTGATCCTCTAAAGTTGTTTTTTTTAAACTCATATAAAAGAAAATGTATGGACATATTAATCTTTCCTCTGTCTTCTGCCTTTCTCTTTCCTTTTTATCCCTTTTAACATAAATGGGAGTGTTGCATAAACAGTGTCCTTCGACTTTTTTCTCCCACTTAGCAGTGTATCCTGGAGATGTTTCCATGTTGAAACATGAAATTCTTTGTTCTTTTTCCACAGCACTGCTGTATTACATTATTTTATCAGTCCTCCATTGATGGACTTTTAGGTTCTTGCTGCTACAAAGTTGCATTGTAACGTTATATGTGTGTTGTTTCATGTGTGCGGATATGAGATTATGTCTGGAGGGTAAATTCTGGATGTGGAATTGCTAGGCACTTGTCATTTTTATAGAGACTGACAAATAGCCCTGCATAGTGATTTTAACGTAGTTACCTATCCCACCAGAAATGAATGAAATGTGTTATTTTCCCACAGCCTCCTCAAAATGGTGTTGTCAAATATTTGCATTTTTCCAACCTGATAGAAAAATGACCCCTCAGTATAGTTTTTTTCACTGCCTTTTAAAAAACATTTTATTGTGTTTTCAGTGAAAGTTTTCACAGCAAATTGGTTCCCATTTAACAATTTCTACACAGTTTGTTCAGTGACATTGGTTACATTTTTCACAGCGTGTCAGCTTTCTCATTTCTGTTCTGGTTGTCTGTTTCCACTAGTCTAGTTTCCCTGCTCCCTTACCTTCTCATCTTCGCTTTTGAGTATAGTTGGCCCTCCGTATCTGTGGGTTCGCAGATTCAACCAACCGTGGATCAAAAGTATTCATGGGGGGCAGCGGGGTGGACCAAAAAGCAAAACTTGAATTGGCCGTGCGTTGAGCGCTGCGCTCAATCAGGCATCCCCTGCTGTAGCCTCCCGCCATCTCACAGATCCTCCGTCTCTCTCCAGCACTTCGGCATCGTTGGCCTCACGTCTTGTCTCTATTCCCCAGACAATACTGTATAATAACTGTTTACATAACATTTACATTGTATTAGGTATTATAAGTAATCTAGAGATGAATTAAAATATATGGGAGGATGTGTGCAGGTTACGTGCAAATTCTACGCCATTTTATATGAGGGTTCGCTTTACCCTGGTCTGTCCATCTGTGCTGAAGCAGCAAGAGTCCCCGGTAATTCCAGGAGACTGTTTTCTCACCTTGCGGAATCAATTCTTTTGGGTGTTAAAGCCAATGCTGAGCTGGACAGGGGAGGCTGTGGAGATGGGGCCTCCACAGAGCCTTTTTGTCTGTGGAGGTAGAGCACATGGTGGTCCCCGGTCCCCTTTCACCCAGGGCCTTCCTACTGTTCTCCTCACTCTTCTCCAGAGCTTCCATGCTTTGCAAACGGCCTGGTTTGGAGGCTGGTCTCAGTGTTACGGAGCTGTTTCCAATCTCTTTGGGTCTCTCTTTGCCCAGCCAGGTGTATCTCCCACCCTCCCTTCAGCCCTTGAAGCCCTTCCTGGTACCTTGTTACTAGGTGGAGTCAAGCTGCTGGGCAGCATTCCTGGAACTCCTCAGGGTCTTGTGGGGCTTTCTGCTGGGTTTCGCCCTTCCTACATAGGTGGATCTTGTCAAGCAAGCATAGTAGCAGGCCGTGTTCTTCTAGGTAGGTCTTGGTGACTGTGATGGCCTGCAAGGTGTCACCAAGTTCACCAAGAGGCAGAGGCCTCTCTTGGCTTCCTGTGGTTTCCAGACCAGAGTAGCTGAGTAGCCCAAGAGAAGAAAATCCCGGAAGACTGTGACTTAGGCTAGGCTGCCTGTGGCCCTGGGGTCGATTCTCTTGGGTGCTTTTCTGTGAGGTAGATTTTCATCTCATGTACAGATGGTGTGTGTTTCAGTTATAACCTAAGGTTTACATGAGGTTTCTGTGCCTTGTTTCAGATACAAAAGCATGTGAGATTTGAAGGGTTTTTAGCAAGGTTTTCGTCTTAGAGCTCAGTTCTAACCGTCTTGGTACTCAGTTGTGTCCTGATGGCCAAAGCTAGCTGTGGTGTGAGGGGGCTGCAGTGAGCACTGAATACAGTCTTGCCTCAGCCTCCCTGAGTGGTTGCATTGTTTGCCTGCCAGTCCAACCTGGAGACTGCAGGCCCAAATGCCAGGCTGGGCTCTCCCAGCACCCTCCTCCTACACCTCCCCAACCAGATCCATGTGTCCTGGCTTTTGTCTCGCCAGCATGCCAGTGTGGAGAGCACCCCTTCCCTCCAGTCCTCGGCCACCTTCTCAACAGCAGCAACCTCTGCCTCGAGTGCCACCTCCTCAGGGGTCAGCCTCCCCAGCAGCATGAACACCGTGAACAGCCTCTGCCTGGGTGGGACCACTGCGAGTGCACCCAGCAGCAGTACCAGGGCTGCGCCCTTAGTCACCTCAGGTATGTGCTCCATAGTCCTTTTCTGCTGACATCCCCCTGCCTTTTCTCACATGTGGGCACTTGGCTTCCCAGGAAGAATCCCAGAGGTGGCTGCCAGGATAGGATGAGTAGCGACACGCATCAGACTGATCTCATTCTGGCCCTACCATTGCTGGGTTGTGGTGGTGTTCCAGCCTCATGAGGAGTGGTTGGAGCCTGGATCTTCTGGGTGGTGGCTTAGGCAGGCTTCCTGGCAGTCTTTGTGCTCCTCGCTCCTCTGTCTTTTCTGTCCTTGTTTTTCCCTTGAGCTGAGGTGACATGGTGACTTGTAGGGCCACAGAGCAGCAGTATCTTGGGCTGCTCCCAGCTGCTCTGCGTGACTGTCAGCCTGCCGGACCTGGGCAGTCTGTGTGGGCAGAGCAGACTGCTTTGGTAGAAACTGCTAAAACGCACCTTGGCCACAGCCTCCCCCTCCTGGCTCTGCCTGGCTGGCCTCCCCTCTCCTGTTCTGAGGAGGCAGCTTGTTCCTCCTGTTCAGGTTTGCTCAATGCAGCATGACCTTTGGGATGGGGGAGTGGTGCTTCTGTCTGGATGAAGGCCACTTCCCTTCATTAGATTTTTGCCTTTGCAGGCAAAGCGCCCCCCAACCTGCCCCAGGGGGTGCCTCCATTGCTGCACAACCAGTACCTCATGGGCCCAGGAGGACTGCTTCCTGCCTACCCGGTGAGCGCACGGTGGAGCTCTTGGCTGGCCCCAGCCCCCCTGGCCTCAGGGGCTGGCACCTGGCAGGACCTGGTGAGGGGGGCCTTGGGTTGGGCCGGGGGTGCCCAGCTTAGGCTGCTGTTCCTTCCCTAAGCCCCCTTTTCTCTGCTCCTCTGATTCCTGGCACGCTTCTCACATCTAGACTCCTTCAAGGCAGAATAGATACTGTTCCCACAGCAGTTGATCCAGGCCCCTTTCCTGGGTGTGCCCTGTGCCCTCAACCTTGTGATGGCTCCCCTGATGGGCCTGCGCATCCCAGGGGGTGGGGTGTGGTCACCAACATACCCTTTCTGGTCCTTATGCAGATTTATGGCTATGACGAGCTCCAGATGCTGCAGTCACGGCTGCCGATGGTGAGTGTGGTGTGGGATGGTGGGCCAGGGGCAGTCAGGCTCTTTTACATGTCCCTCTTCTCTTGGCCTTTATTCCCACTCTGCCTGGCCCTCAGGATACGTGATCTAAGTCCCCCTCAGCACCACCACTTAGATAGCTGCTTCCATTTGGTGTATGTGCCTGAAGAGACCATAGCTTGGGCACATGAGTATCCTTTCGTTGTCCCTGGGGAGCTTGAAGGTCATTGGACCTGGGTCCCCAGTAGGCAGGTCCCCCTACTAAATGTGGGCCCATCTTTCCATCCCTACTTTTTTTAAAAGGAAAAACGGTATAACACAAGACATGGGCATTACCAGGCTTACCAGGCCTTGGAGTCTTATAGTCTTCCTCACCCTTGAAGTGCCATTCTGTGTCTCTGGGCTCTGGGGTGGCCATTGGTTATCTTGTGATGGCAGCATTGCTCTTCTACCTCTAGCTGGGTGAGTGGCTGGAGCAGACCAGCTTCGTCTGGCCTCCCATCGTTTGCTGGTCCAGGGTGCTCCCTGGTTGTTGCAGACTCACTCTGAGCCTGGGCTGCCTCTTGATTCTGTGTTCCCTGGGAATGGCCACGTGCACAGGACCACAGTAGAGGAGACTGGGGGCAGACATGCTTCCTTCCTGGATAGCTACTCCCTTCTTGGTCTGGCATTTCCCGGACTCCTAATAACTTCAGGAAGTTCAGGATACCTGTCAGAGACTGTCAGATGGTAAAAATCAGTTTAGACACCAGTGTTCACTCCGCTAGATGTGATCTTCCTTGTTCCCAGAGGAAGACACTCTCTCCCCAGGGAGGTGCAACCTGTCCTACCTTTGCCTGGCAACAAAGAGCTTAGGGAGCTACAGGTATCTCCTGGTCTTGGCCTGGACCACCTCCCAGACACAGCTGCTAGAGCTCTTGTCTCAAGAACGTCTCTATCTTCTGGAAGTACTTCCTGAGTCAGAGGCCAGTAGCTGAGCAGCTTGTCCTCCATGTGTGCACCAGCAGCATGTCACACTGCTGGGACCTTCAGCTGTTGCCTACATCCCAGGAGGGCCCTGCAAGTTTTTTTTTATTTTAATTTTATTTTCACTTTTTTTTTTTTTTAATTGGACTTCAGGTGAAGGTTTATAGAACAAACAGTTTCTCATTAAACAGTCACCACACATGTTGTTTTATGACATTGGTTAACAACTCCATGCATGACATGTCAACCCTCTCCCTTCTCAACCTTTTTTTTGGTGAAAATACACATAGCCAAAGATACACCATTTCAAAAATTTCTACATGCACAGTTCAGTGACATCGACTACGCTCTTCCATTTGTGCTGCTATTCTCACTTTAGATGAAGGCTTACAGAACAAAATAGTTTCTCATTAAACAGTTACCCTGAAAGGTTTTGAAGATATGATGGCAGAGCTCCAGGGTAGTCCACAGACCTTAAGGTCTAAGGGCTTTATGAGGGAATGGGAAGTGGCCTTGGCCCCACATGCTCCTTTGGAAACCTCAAGCCATCTGGTCCAGTAGCTTCAGAGCATTCCAGATGGAGTACAAGAGATGGTCCTGAGTGAGTGCATGTGGGGCCCAGCCCTGGGCTTCATCCACAGTTATTCACAGCACTCATCTTCTTTCATTATTTTGTATCTTAGAAGAAATCCCCTCTGAGCCCACCTTCTGAGATGCAGAGCTTTCATTTCCCCTTTGGTCATTCATTAACTCCTGGTACTTTTGTGCTAGTTCCCTCCTTTAGATCTCATCCTCTGCAAAGAGGCTGCCCTTCTGGGCTTTCTCTGCTCCCATCCCCAGTGTGTTCTTAATAGCTCTGTGCTTTCTCAGTCCTGCCTTCTCCTAGGCCTCTGGGTTGAGTGGGTGCTATGGATTTCCTGGAGGTTATCTGCGATATGGCCAAGGAGGGGGTGAGTGCCATCCCAGCCAGAGCACCCATCTGGCTGTGACCAGGCACCGTTGGCCTAAGGAGCAGGAAGGCGTTCCCTTTGCTCAGAGGCCAGGATGCCAATGTCCAGGGCTGCCAAATTCCAGGTGGTGATTAAGGGCAGGACAGGCCTCCCATTCTCCACAGAGCCCTCTTTGCCTCCACACTGTATTGTATCTGCCATACTTTTCACTGGGCGAGGGCAGAGTGAGTGGTGAGAGGCCTCTAAGCCAGTTCAGGAACCTCAACACCTGAAGTCCTGCTTGCCCCTGTACCTGCCTGGCATTGGGGGCCCTGAGTTAGCTTGTTCACTTTTAACCCTTTAGGCACCTCCTCTTCTGCTGACTCTTTTTCAGGTTTGTACTGTTCAGTCCATTTTCTTAGCTGTTCTTCAGAATCTTTCACATAGGAAAAGACAGTAAAGTTGGTTAGGCCTGTGGCATTCACAGTCATCCATCTGTGGTGTAAAATGGGGATGTGTGAGGTTGGGCCCCAGTGGCTCTTCCTGGAAAAGGTGCGGGGCTGGTCAGTCCATCCATGTGCAGTCAGTCAAGCGGGGTTGCCACGCTGCACAACTCTGACAGGCACCACTCACTCTGCGTTCTCTGTGAGTGCTGCCCTCTGGGGGGTGCTGCCCTCTGGGGAGTGCACATGAGGCCCTGCGGCCTGGGTGCCACAAGCCTGGGCTGCTTGTTGAGTCTGCTGTCCTGAGGTGGGCAAGGCCATTCTGCTGATCGAGCCCCTGGTCTCTCTTAGGATTACTATGGAATTCCCTTTGCTACGCCTACAGCGCTTGCCAGCCGAGATGGGAGCCTAGCGAATAATCCGTATTCAGGTCTGTCTGTTCAGGGGATGAGGAGTGGGTGGGCATGGGACTGGCCTGTAGCTGATCACAGGAGTCTGGAAAGCAGAAGCAGAAGGGCTCAAGGCCTGTCTTCCCATTTTTGAGCTGGCAGCCAGACCTGTTTCTGTTTGCAGGAGCCAGGCTGGCTTGTTCCCTGGTTGGATGGTGGACATTGACCAAAATCAGTGCTCCCCTTTTCCTAGGTGATGTCACAAAGTTTGGCCGAGGTGACTCTGCATCCCCTGTGCCCCCCACCACGCTGGCTCAGCCACAGCAGAGCCAATCTCAGAGCCACCACACGGCCCAGCAGCCCTTTCTGAATCCTGCGCTGCCACCCGGCTACAGCTACACTGGCCTCCCCTACTACACAGGCGTGCCCAGTGCCTTTCAGTATGGGCCCACCATGTTTGTGAGTATTTGTCTGGGTGTCGTATCATTCCTCCCCATCCTTGTGTTGCTGGGTAGTTGAAACCCTGGAACCATATTCCAGTTCATGGGAGCAGAGGCAGGGAGGGAGGGAGGGAGAGTCATGACCCCACTGAGTCCCACCCAGGCCTTCAGCAGTGGTTTGGGCTGGGGGCGAGGTTACTTTCCCCGTCTGGTTTTTAACCCCAGCATGTGGTCCTCTAACAAACACATGGGTCCTCTGTGGTGGTGGGTTTGCCAGCTGCTGCGTAAGGCTAAGGCAGGGGTACCTGACCTGTTCTATCCTGCCTTGCTCCTATGCTAATGCCTCACCTGTGTACCCCACCAGGTCCCTCCAGCCTCAGCCAAGCAGCATGGTGTGAACCTCAGCACGCCCACCACGCCTTTCCAGCAGGCGAGTGGTTATGGCCAGCACAGCTACAGCACAGGTGAGGGGGGCCACCAGCAGGGAGACATGTGGGTAGGAGAGGCTTGTCTAGCTCATACACGTCTCTTGTACCCTGCCCATGCTAGGTTATGATGACCTGACCCAGGGGACAGCAGCTGGTGACTACACCAAGGGTGGCTATAGTGGATCATCACAGGCACAAAACAAGTCTACAGGTTCTGGGCCTGGCAAAGGTAGCGTCTGCCCCTCCTTTCCAGGATTGAAGCCCTGAGTAGTTGTCTCCTACCCTGACTCCTTCTTGGGTAAGGCTACCCCAGAGTGCCCTGGGGGTGTGGGAGGCGGGGTCTGGGGCTAGCTGCTTTGGGAAACAACTGCTTTTTCTTCCAGGAGTATCAGTGTCCTCAAGCACCACTGGCCTACCTGATATGACTGGTTCTGTCTACAACAAGGCTCAGGTGATGGAGGGCACAGGTGGACAGGTAGATTGGTGGGTGGTTCAGCCCAACCTGGACCTGACTTCGTCGTCTTTGCCTTGCAGACTTTTGACAAGCAGGGATTTCATGCAGGGACTCCTCCACCATTCAGCCTGCCCTCGGCCTTGGGCTCTACTGGGCCTCTGGCCCCTGGCACAGCCCCTGGCTATGCGCCCCCACCGTTCTTGCACATCCTGCCTGCCCACCAGCAGCCCCACTCACAGCTGCTACACCACCACCTTCCGCAGGATGCCCAGGTGAGCCCTCTGCTAGAGGCTGCCACCCTGCCCTGGGCTGGAGGCTCTGCTCCAGCCTTGACAGCCTTCTCTCCCCCTCTTCGTCCTTCCTCAGAGCGGCTCCGGTCAGCGCAGTCAGCCCAGTTCCCTGCAGCCCAAGTCTCAAGGCTCGAAACCTGCCTACAGCAGCTCTCCTTACTGGACAAACTGAACCTTGAAGAACGGTGGGGCTGACCCCAGGCAGGAGAGAATACACGGAGCCCGTATCTGGGAGCCTAGCACCCTTCCCTAGAATTCCTGAGACGTGTAACTATGTTAGCCGAACCTCTGTGGGGAGCCTGCCTCCCAGACTCACTGTTGTATGTAATATATTTATGTATGTATTTGTAAATGTGATAGAAGTCTTGGGGGAGCTGGGGTACGGGCTGCCGGTAGCTAGGCCTGCTGTCCCTCCTCAAGCCCATTCTTTCTGTAGCAAAGTAAGCCCCCTTCCCTCTGCCCTCAGGCCTTCCACACAGCCCCCTGCCCACCCAGCTGCTAGGGGCAGTCTTTGGAAGGGCTGGTTCCAAGGCAGTTTGGGTGTTGGGGTCAGGTACCAGCGAAGAATGACGACTTAATGTCGCTCGCTTGTAAACATTATTTGAGGTTTTGCCCGTGTATCCCTCTTTTTGAGAAATTGGCCCTTGTGTCATTTGTCATGTTCCCCTTCCTGCCAAGTCTTGATCTGGGAATAACAGAAATAGCCCCGTCTCATGTAAAACTGGGCACCTTTTTGTCTTCATATAGAGCAGGGGCTTCTGCTTCTGGTCTAGTCTTGTCCTCAGAGACCTGCCTTTCTCTGGCTGCCCATTTTTAAAATAATCTGAACTTGGGCTCAGATGCTCAGTCAGCTCCCCTTTAAAAAAAAAAAAAAATCAAAGATCCGCTTCCATCTCAGTGAGAGCACGTCTCCATGCAAAGGCTCCTCTCTTCCAGTTGTCCTTAACCAGGTGGGCGACTGTTTCAGGGGTTTTCTCTTTTGCCCAGACTCCACCTAATAAAGTTCTGAGAGCATGCATGGTCTCTGTGTGGTGACTGAGGGGTAGCTCAGGGCAGAGGCAGCCTTCAGTATGGCTCCACGTACTGTACTTCTCCTGACAACAGCTATAAAGTCTCGACTTCGTATTCTTTTCTCTTGTCTTGGCCCCAGTCAGCGTCCAGGGAGTGAAAAGGTAAATAAGGCTGAAAAGACAGCTAAACTTGACAGGGTATAGACAGCGTTTATCAAAGTTAACTTTGCTGTTCCTGCAACCCCTTCACAGATGTAGGGAAAGGGTAGTCAAACACCAGGGCAGGGGAATTTTTTTCTAAACCTCACCTGACTTTTAAAGTCTGAAGCAAAAAGCCAAGAATTGAGAGCAGCGTTCTAGGCCTGAGAGAATTAAGCATGAACAGGCTCAGTGCTACCTGGTTAACGTGTCTATCCTTTTGCTCTTCATCAACCATGCAATCTTGATTGGTGGTCAAGGGCTGTGGTAGAAGAGATGACTAGTGAGTCAGGGTGGCATGAAGTAGGCAAGTGGGTCCTGATGTAAATGTCTGCTCCAGAAAGTCCCAACCAACCACTCGCCAGAGGCCAGGATTCTGACTTCCCCAGCTGTATTCAGTTCTTCCCTCAGCAGAGAGGAATCAGGGGCATGAGCTAACCCTGTCTGTCCAGCAGGAGGTAGATCTCCCCACTTAGCTACTGTGCTCCAACCTGGCAAGCAGCTCAGGGCCTAGAGGTGTTGCCCAAGGTGTTAAACGGCCTCACATCAATCCTAAATAACCAGTTCAGACTAGGCTAATATGTGAACAAAATGAGAGCTACTTCAAACCCGGTAATCAGTCAAGTCCAGAAGCAGCCAGGGTCACAGGCTTTATCTTTTCTGCTTTTGGCCTCTAAAGTCAGCTGCAGTGGTCATTTCACTGGCTGCTGTTAACACACAGCTTGGGATTGTGGCTAGAAAAATGGGAAGTGTTCACAACTGAAACTAAACAGGGACTCTTATTAAACAATGTGATGTCTCCTGCCTCACCCCTGCTACTACCAGCAGGAAGTTAGGAAGACAAATGACAAAATGCTTGCCAAAGGAGGGCAGCAGAGCACCCCTCTATCCCTTTACCCACCTGCTCACACTGGCAGACTGTGCCCTGTTTTAGAGTTAGTTAAGCTTAAAAAATGGCTGAGGTATCTTTAAGAACCTCCTTTAAAAACTAGTAAAGATTGGGGATGGTTATTTTCCAGGGAGATAAGAGAGCTGGGCAGAATGTTATAAAAGGCAGGTCAGCAAGTTCTGATTTTTTTAGTTCTTCAGCTGAATCCTGGGCATACATAACCTGCAAGATAATAGTAAAGCTATTCAGAGACCACCTTTAGTTTAACACAAGAAAAAAAGAGGGTCATCCCATGGGGAAGTAGCAATACAGGTATATTTTATTTCACATTTTATTAGTAGACAGATGGGCAGAAAAAGACAAAATAAAGCACTAAAAGGGAAAGTCAACACAAAATGCATCAGATAATCCTTTCTCGTAAATTAAACCGAAGAAAAACAACTACAATTTCAACTAAGAAAACTATTAAAGTCAGATGTGTCCTTGCTGGTTTCAGAATAGTTGCATCTGAAAATTGCATCTGAATCTTTTTAATTGTAAATGTAAACCTTGTTTATCAGGATGGGAGGGGTGGAGTTAATTTTCAATGGAGAACTACACATTTTCCTCTTCAATCTCTTACTATATATGTCCCAAACAGAAGGAAACCAGCAAGTAAAGAAGCAAATAATTACCAGGGAAGGGGAAAAAAGGGACTACAGAAAAGTTTGGCTAACAGAAAAGAACTCTGGAATGATAGGAAATAGGGGGAGGAGTAGACTTTGAGAAAAGCAACAATGGAATCTTGATGCTGTACTTGTCTTTACCCAGCCTCGAACTACACAGAACTGACGAGCATCCGGTGAGGCCTCATGAGAATCAAAGGTAGTCTAAAAATGCAGGATCTTGAGTTCATATCACACCAAATCATCAGCACAACTGTACTCACAAGGTTCTGGCCTGAGCCTGATACCTCCACTCCCAAAAAGGAAAAGAAAAAAAAAAAATCAAGGGGAAAAAAAAAAAAAAAATCACGTAAGTTATCTCCCCCACAGGATGTGTTTTCAGGGACAAAGTGCAGGGCTCTGGAACCAACATGTGGGTTTTATAAGTCAGGCTAGGTGATAAGAATGGCTACCTGCTAGCAGATCAACACACTCCAGTCTTTTCTGGAACTGACTGTACCTCATCAGAGGCAAACCCAGTCCTCAATAATGGCTGAGAGGTACAACCTCCACCTGGCTCTCTGGCTCCCTGAGTCAACGTGCAACAGAGGCCAACAGGACCTAGTGAGACAGGGCTGATCAGCACAGCACCTCCCATAATACCAAGGTGCCTGGCCAGACCTGGGAAAGATGCTTCAGTAGTAAGGGGAAAGGCAGGCTTAACGTTAGGGCTCCAAGAGTCAGATCAAGCAGCTGGCTGTAAACGGAGGTTGGGGAAGGGGTGGTATCAGAGAGCACTGGAAGAGACTTTGGCTCCAGAAGATCTGCAGGTTTTCTGGATGCATCACTTAAGAAATGTGGGGAGTAAAAAGTTACTTCCAAAATCCTTCTGTGAGAGTTTATGGTCAGACAACTTAAGAGCGTTTTGTCATAAAGAGCCCCTTTGTTCCCTAAATCTGATTGGAATCACTAGATTCAGGGATGCAAGTTGCAGCCCTGGCCCCATGGGGGTTGTACATAAAGCTTTCAGGACGAGGCTCAACAATGTCCCGTATGAACTTTTTCACTTTAAACAATCCTACTCAATATCCGATCAAATATTAGAGGCCAGAGGGGGCAGCTGGGGAATAGTCAGCAAATGTTCGGAGAGTTTGAAGAGCAAATGAAAACCCTGAGATCAGAAAAGGAGGAGGAGCTAAGGAAGTAAGCATCCTAGAATCCATCCATTGCACCCCATCCAGAATCAGCCCTCTGGTTCTGAGCTATGCTCTGAAGCAAAAGATGACGCTAGCGCACAGGGATCTGGAGTCAGGCTTTGCTGTATTTTCCCTCTGAAAGCTGTGGTTTTACATTTTAGAGGTTTTCCCCACTGACAGAATCCTGCCCTCTTATGGCCTCCCCTACCCCCATAAGAAACAAAAAATCACCCTCAAGTTCTGAAGTCCCTGGTTGGTGAAGGCTGCTGGAGCTCAGTATTGACTGAAGCAACACATGATAGAGAACTGGGAATCAAAGCCGCAGGAACTGCACAGCAGGAAGATTTCTCAGCCTGCGGCCGGCCAACTCCCTCGCTCCCTCGGCCCTGCCAGAAGAGACAAAGCAGCCCAGGGAAGCTCCATGCACAACATTTTGCTTGCACTCCACAGCCAAAGCACAATGAAAGGAGAGAAAAGTCCAGGTCACATGCAATGAGGAAAGTGGGAACAGGTCACTCATGTCTCACATACACCCACATTTATCACTACTGGTATAAGCAGCTCAATGAAAACCAAAATCTTAACACATGCACCTAGGATTAATACTGAATAATTAAAACTGGCTACTTAAAAACCCTCATGGTCAGAGCGCATCTTTGAATTGAAGGCCATGGTAAGTATATATAAAACAGATGTTTTCCTCTCCCAACAGTGCTCACCAGTAGTTTTGACTTTTTCCCCAGCAGCATCAACCAAAAATGGCAGAGTGATTTTTAACTCTTCGTTATCATCACTAAAAATCCACACACACTAATACCCACTTCCACCCCACCCTCCCCATTCCCTAGGGGAAAAATATCAACCCTGACTTTAAAATAAATAGCAACCAAGTGCTCAGTTCTATGTAAAGTATGAATATTTATTTTAGGCTTTAGATCCCAATTGATTTCAAAAAACAAATTCTGATTTTTCTAAGAGTAGCTGAGGCCTCCATGTGAGGATGATTTCACGGAGGCTGAAGAAGCCCTGGGCCCTCAGGAACACACTTTATCAGGCTTAGCACAAAGTCCCTGGCACCCACTGTACCCCAGCCTTATGAAGGAAAAAGAAAATTCGCTACCGGAGTTGAACAAATGCATACACACTAATGTAAATGAGAAGCTAAACCTTGGCAAATCTGCTTTTTTTTAAGTTTGTTTTGTGGGGTTGTGTGTGTGTGTGTGTGTTTTCATCTTCTTTTGCTACCCAGTATATATGCAGCACTTGTGAACTCCCAATGGGTTCCCAGCTTTAAATACATTAAATGTCTTGATGAAAGACTATTTAATTTCTTCAAGAATCTGAAAACAGGCCAAACGTGTTTTGTTGTGAACACTTTGTAGAGACGAAGTGAGGCGGGAGTTTGGGTTGTTTTTTTTTTTGTTTTTGTTTTTGTTTTTTTTTTAAAAAAGAATCAATACAGTGATGGAAGGGTAAAGAATGCAAGAATTCAGACATTCTGTGGAGGGTTACTTTCTCTCCATTAAGAGGTCCATAAAAAGGAGCAAACTGAGATCCATAAGGGGAGTCAGTAGGAGCCGTGTTTGTTTTCCCCACCCCCTGTGAATAGGTTTTTGCTGAGGGGCCACTGCTAGGTCCCCACTTGCTCCCCTCCCTTTGGCCTGAGACGGCAGGGCAGTACAGGGGCATCAAAGGAGCACGTCACGACTCCTCATTCCCAGAATCATCATCATCATAACAGTCGGCATCTTCCTCTTCCTCATCTTCATCATCAATGTCGTCGTCATACAAGTCGTCATAAAGCAAATCTGAGCTGTTGTCATTGGAAGGCACTTTAGTTTTGATGCAGTATTCCGCCAGGGTTGTGGGGACCTTCACTCCATCCTTTTCTGCTTCAGCCTTAGTGGCTGAAACCTGTTTCCTAAGGGGAGGAAGACAAAAACAGTTTGTCAAGTCTCTATCTTGAAGATGGATTTTATAATTTGTCCCTAAATAATCAAGACTCCTTATGATTCTGCTTTCCGTATCTCAGTACCTGCCTGAAAGCACGTGACAGACACCCTGTACTACACACACCAAAGGCTATCAGTCCACCAGGTACCATTTTGAAGGAAACCTGTAATAACCTTTTAGGGGGAAATAAATTACCATGTGAAGGGAGTTTAGCAGGAGATCTCTATTAAATAATGGTTGTCCGGACATTGTCTTGGAGGTTTCTCTTCCCAGGCTTCTCCAAGATATGCAGCCCCAATACACAATGCAGTCCCAACAACTCTTCTTAGTACAATAATCCTCCTCATTTGCATCTATACTAGAATCCCAATACCTTATCCTGGATTCCCAAAGCTTGCATGACCCACCTGTCTACCTCTGCATTCTCACAGCCCATTACTTTCTCCAACTCTGAAACATCCAGGCCACATCTTCTCTTAGTAACTTGAACACCCTGATGTTTGTTTAGATCAACTGCTCGTCTTCTGGCTCCCTGTCACTCAGCTCTCAGCTTACATGTCACCTTAGAGGAAGGAGGCCTTTCCTGACAATCCAATTTAAAGCAGCCATCTAGTTACTCCCATTTATCCTACTTAATCACTAACTAGCTTTTTTTTTTTTTTTTTATGATCTTCTTTATTCATTTTTCTATTTCTCCTCACTAGAATGTGGGCTTCTTTACAGCAGAGACCCTTTCTATCTTAGTCACTTTCATTTCTCCAGTGCTTAGAACACAGCCTGGCACATAACATGTGTGCAAAAAATACTGGCTATATGAACGTGGTTTCCTTCAACAAGTATGAAAATTCAAGCCTTCAAAGGATTGGAGAACTGGAATTAAAACATCACAACACCACTGCCCCGATCTTCCTTCTACTTACCTTTTCAATTAGACTTCTTTCAGCCACTGCTGCTGCTTTACTTACTTTGCCATCTTCCTGAGGCTTGTAGGCTTGAACCTCTTCCCACTCTCGGCACTCTCCCTGGGCCACCTTACCCACTCCCATGGTTTTAGCCACTGTTAATGGACTGAATTCTACCTCTCAAAATAGGCACTGAAATCCTAACCCTTGTGCCTGTGGATATGACCCTGTCTGGAAATAGGGGTTTTCTTCTGTTATGTTAATGAGGTCATACCAGAGTAGGATGGGACCTACACCTAATCACTTGTGAGTTATAAAAACAGCAGAACAGACACAGAGACAAAAACAGGCAGAAGACAGATGCCAAGGAATGCCAAGGAACTGCAGGGGCTACTGACAAGGACCTTTCCCTAGAGCCATGCCCAAATTTAGACTTCTAGCCTAACAGTTTGAAAATAAACTCCTGTTCTTTAAATCCACCCACTTGTGGTATTTCTGTTACAGCATCACTAGGTAACTAAGACAACCACCACACCCTTTGTGCTGACAGACTTCGTATCAGGCTCCAGCCCATAGGTTTCTTTTGTGCTCTAGACCCTTATATAACCAACTGCCTTTTGGATGTCTCCATCCTGATGTCCCAGAGGAATCCTAACTCAGCAAGACTAAAACTGCATTTGTCATTTTCCACCTCTAATACCTGTTTCTCCCATTTTTCTTCTCTCAGTGAAAGAGTATCAGTCCCTAAAATCAAATCTCACCCCTGTATCCAAAATCACTAACGTCCTATTGCTTTACAGCCTACATATTTTCAAATCTGTCTTCTCATTCCCACTGCCACTGCCTTAGTTCTCATCTCAGCCTCCCTACTGGTCCCCTGGTCAATTGTGTTCTTCCAGAACTTAGGTGTGATTGTCCCTTCCCTCCCAAACATCCTTAAATGACACCCCATCACCTCTAAGATTAAGGACCAAATTCATCATGACTTCAATGTCTTTTAAGACCTGTTGCTTCTCTTGCTTAATTTCCTATTACTTCCAAAATCAGAATTTACATTCAAACAAAGTAAAACTACTTGTAATTCCCTGGACATGCCATGTTTTATACAAATGTGTCTAGCAAACATGTTTCTCTTTTCCTGAAGATGCTTTTTTCTTCCCCCTTTTACCCTGGTGGCACAGTGGTTAAGAGTTCAGCTGCTAACCAAAAGGCTGGCAGTTTGAATCCACTAGCCGCTCCTTGGAAACCCTCTGGGGCAGTTCTACTCTCTCCTGTAAGGTCACTATGACTCAATGGCAACAGGTTTGGTTTAGTTTTCTGTTTTTTGATCTGAAAAATTCTTAGTCATCTTTAAAAACTCAGTCAAGGCATTATCTCTCCCAGCAACTCCACAGCATTATATACTTCTTTCTGTGTATTTTATTTATGCTTCTGTAGTTGCACCTAGCATATTACATGGTCGCTTGCTTGTTGACAAATGCTTGCTACCCTAAGTAAAGTGTGAGCTCCTTGAGCAAGGAGACTGTGCTCTAATCAACTGTACCCCTTGTACTTGGCAAACCACTGACACAAAGCTGGTACATATAAATTTTGAAAAAATTAAAGAATGAGATAAAAAGACCTTTAGAATATTATTCTAGCCATTAAGAGAAATAAAGTTCTGATACATGCTATGACATGGATGAACCTTGAAAACATTATGCTGAGTGAAATAAGTAAGCCACAAAAGGACAAATACTGTACAACTCCACTTACATGAAATATCTAGAACAGGCAAATGCATAGAGACCAAGACCCATTAGTGGTTATCAGGGGTGAGTGGGAGGGGGATACAGCGGGTATTGCTCAAAAGGTACCGAGTTTTTGTTAAGGGTGATGAAAACATTTGGAAACAGATAGCGGTGACTGTTGCACAACATGGTGAATGTAATTCATGTCACTGAATTGTACACATAAAACTGGCTGAAACGTTTTGTTACATACATTTCACCACAATACGCATTAAAGAGAAATACCAAACCAAACCCATTTGCCACTGAGTCAATTCTGACTCATAGTGACCCCGTGTGTTACAGAGTAGAACTGCTCCATAGGGTTTTTCTTGGCTGTAATCTTTACAGAAGCAGATCACCAGGTCTTTCTTCCTCAGTGCTGTTGGGTGGGTTCAAACTGCCAACCTTTACGTTAGTACTCAAGGGCAAACTGTGTGCCATCCAGGGTCTTAGAGAGATACAGACCCTTAAACAAGAAATATAATGAGTAGAAGAACCCTGGGAATATTCATGCCTTCTTCACTTACTAAATCCTACCTTTCCTTGAACATCAGGCTCCAATCCTGACTGTTTTGTGAAGCATTCCCATCCTTCAATCCTCAGTCCACTCCCGCTCCTCTAAATTTCTATAGGTCCTTACTATTTATACTAATTATCTTCAAACTTTGGTATGCATCAGTCACCTGGGTGGCTGGTAAAAAAACAAAACAAAACAACAAAACAGATGCCCAGGCTCTATCCTTATAATCTCATTAAATGGCTATGGCTTAGGAAGGGGGCTTAAAAGTTACTTCAATGGACACAAAACTTTGAGAACTGCTGATCTATACTACTCAGCTGTCAGATGACATGCTTTTATGTACACTGTTTTATGTCACATGCTATCATGCTGACTAGATTTATAGCAAGGGACTGTATCTGCATAAATTCCAGTGCTTACTACTAAACTCCTATGTACAGAACAAACTGGAACTGTCCTTAGGGCTCTATTTTAAAGGTATAAAAAGAGGGAGTTGAATTGATTACAAAATTCTTGTGTCCTATTATGAAAACCTTATGTGCTACTTAAGAGTATGATCGTGAGATGAATGGTTGAGCCCAATACCTTTCACTCTTTTCCCTTTTACACAGATGGAGAAACTAAAGATCAAAAAAGTTAACTAATAAATGGTCACACAAGGAGTGGCAGAGCTGACAGCAGATTCCAAGTCTCCTAATTACTATTCTAGAGTTTTGTCATACCACATATTAGTGTTGTGATAATGGAGATACCCAGAAGACACTTGCTGCTATGACCAAAAAGGCCAATAAACGGTAGGTTTTCATTAATTACAAAAATTGAAAACAAAATTACTCTGTCTTACATATCTAGAAGATCCTGGGTTGTTGTCTTTGCTGCTCTTAATGGACATGTTGAACGCCCAGAATAGGGTCCCTAAAAATGGTCAGGAGGGAGACTTCACAAACATGACTAGTTTAGGACCTGTAAGTTCTAGTTTCCTGGAAATAAGATTTGACGTAGCACTATCCCTTCTAGTGTGTGCTCTCTCAAAACTTAAGCTCATCAGGCTCAGGCAAAAATCTACCTTACTCTTTCCACACTATAAAGCTAACCGAGAGAAATGGAGTAGACAGGATTTTAAGGTTGATTTAAACCCTTCATTTCAGGATACACTTTGATTCTGTATGAAGACTTGAAGTAATTAAAAGGAAGACAAAATGAAGCACCTTACCTAATGATTTCAGCATACTCTTTGTCTTTTCCTTTACTGTCCCTCCATTTCCTGAACATAACTGAAGCATCCACATTGGCTGGGGAGAAGGTGTTGGGCTCATTAAGCAGTGAGATTACACTTAACAGGATAGTCCTAGAAATGGAAAAAACAGTCAGCTATGAATACTCATATTCATAGTATTCAAAAGTATCCTGCTTTTTAATTTAACTATGTTCAGAATTAAAATTTTCCCTCAGTTTTTTTTTCTGATATAATTTAATTTTAGACCATAATATATAACGTTTAGGGGAATGGAAATAGAGCATCATAAAATTTTGTTTTCAATACTCAGCTGGCTAGGCTACGAAGACAAAGCAGAGGAAATTTGTTGAGTCTAGCACAAAGGTCATGTTGGAGGGTGCAAAATGAACTCTACAGGAGACACTGTCTTGACTGGCTGCAAAAAGTAGATGTCTGGAAGCTTTTCAAATACCATGTACAGCAAAATTACAAATTAAGTGGAGTAGAGAAGAGAAAAAGCATAAAGTATTTAGCTTCAAGATAATCTTTTAGTAGGATAAGGTAAAATCTAATATCTGAAAAACAGTATTACATACAAATGTATTTCTTCTCCACACTTATAAGGGAAGGAAGACAGAGTTAAACAGGAGAATGGAGGAAAAGTAAAGATCTTGACATGGAAGAACTAGTGAATAATAGAAATCTTTATTCAAAAATATTTACTGAGCATCCACTGTGCACCAGAGGCATCAAGTTAGATGCTGAATATACAATGCTGGACAAGTTAGGTGCTGTCCCTGATCTCCCATGGTTTATTAGTGGGAGACACAACTAGGCAATTTTCATCCACAGATAAAAATTAGATACTTCAAACAATCACTGGGAATAAAGTTCTATTAGATAAAATAACCAAGAAAGCACAACAGGCTCCAAAAATGTTTCAAATTATTCCCAGTTTTTTTCCCCACTAAAAGCTATATGCATGTGGGTAAGGAGAAAAACGGGAGGAAAATTAAATTTCTCTACCTTTTCTCATTGGTGCGAGGTTATAGATTTTGTTGTTGCAAAACAGCCTTTTGCTCCTGGCCCCAAGCAAAAAATAAAGGGAGGGAACCAGGCAATTAGCTGTTTGATTTGATGAAACCTTTTCCTAAAAAGGGTAAAGAGTTTCTGTTATGTGTTTATACAAGATTATAACAAAGGCACTTTCAAAGAAAACTTTCCCATGGTTCCCATGTGGTTAAACTCCATTTATCACACACACATACTCCTTTCTATTAGGTTAACAATAACTCCTCACCCCCACTCCCAAGATCCTTCAGTAAGTTCATTAAAAAGATTCAAAGAAACTTATCACTGCCAACGATGGATAATGGACTGACATCACATCCCAGGAGCAAAAGAAAAACGTGGGTAGAAAATTACAAACGAGTATCTTTAGAAAATATGTACAAAAACTGCCAGAGAGATAAGCAGGACAAAGTATGATATAAAGAAAAAAAAATAGCTTTAACAGTACAGATCAGCACTGTCTAATAACAACTTTCTATGATGATGGACATGTTCTATAATCTGTGTTATCCAACAGTAACCATTAGCTACATGTAGTGACTGAGCACTGTGAAGTGTGACTTGCGTGACTGAGGAACTGAATTTTTAATATTTAATTTTAATTAATTTAAATGGCAACATGCGGTTGGGGCCCTGGTGGTGCAGTGGTTAGGCGTTTGGCTGCACCAGCTGCTCCTTGGAAACCCTATGGGGCAGTTCTACTCTGTCCTATAGGGTCACTAGCAGTCAGAATCAACTGGACGGCAACAGTTTTGGTTTTGGTTTTACAAGGGGTTACTGGCTACCATACTGGACAGTACAGCACCTACATGAATCATATTAACTGAATTAGGATATTTTTCTCACAAGTCGTTTCACCAAGTTGGTTTTCTTACATCTCATGTTTACTATTAAAATAGTAAACTGAGAAATAAAATTTTTGAAAATGGTGAATCGTAACATTTCTATCGAAACAAGAACTCATTTCCAATGCCATATACTCCTAAGTTGAAATCCATGATGCTTTTAGGAACGTCAGGTACTATAGTGGACTGTAATAACCGTTTTATTCAGCCCAGGCATTTTCACTTCTTCTCTTCATCTGGAAAGCAAGATCTTTTTCTGTATGGGGAATCCATTTCATGTGGTTCAGGTAGGGCCAATCTCCTTCCCCTATCAATGTCCACATCCCTCATAAACATAACAACCTATCTACCCACAGCAGTAGACATATGACCAAGGACTGACCAAAGGATTCCATCTATTTTGTCAGGATAATTGGTTTCGGGATATGCACGTGACCTAAGCTGGGCCAATTAGCATCCTGCTGGGACCTATGCTGGTCCCCAACTAATGACAAGGGATATATTTTTATTCTTGAATGGATTGACAGCTGTGAGAATAAGGAAAGCCTAGAGCAGGTAGCTATCTTCGCACCATGTAGCTGCAGCTTGCCTAATAACAAGGCCAACATACAGCAGAGCAGAATTGAGATGTTTTTTCCTCTAACATAGATTCCTGATGCAATTCACATGCAATAACCAAACCAGAATGTTGTGAATGGATTAAAAAACCAAACCAAACCCTTTGTCATCCAGTCGATTTCAACCCACAGTGACCCTACAGGACAGAGTAGAACTGCCCCATGGGGTTTCCAAGGAGCAGCTGGTGGATTTGAAATGCCAACCTTTGGGTGAGTAGCCAAGCTCTCAACCACTGCATGCACCACGGCTCCGAATGGGTTACAGGAGATTATACACTGATCCCCCAGGTACCTGGCTGGGTAGGACCTGGGACAGCCTGAGCCTCTGGGTCAATAAGTTCTGGCCAAAGGGGTATCTTCAGTTTATCTCAATGTGATTTACAAATATTATCATTTTTATCTTCTGTATGTACCATGACTGAAAAGGTTAGAAAGCAATGCCTTATGTAAACTGTCTCTCACCTGTACCAAAATAATTTGACACAGGCATTACACCTGCAGTATAGCAAACAACTCTGTATGGTAAATTTTATTAATCCTGTTTTTATAGAGTGGACAAACTAAACTTTCCTGAGACAATACTGCTAGAATGTATAAAACAAGATTTGAATCTAGGAACTATTCTGACTGTTACTTTTTTGTTGTTGCTGTTTTAAGTTTTAGTTAAGTTTAAAAATATTTATATTTTCTCAGGAGGAAAAAAAAAGCAGAAGGTGTAGAGAGTTAACAATAGGGGAAAGAATGGTAAAGAAGACCTACTGGTTTGATTCTGGTTTGGCAAAGAATGGGGTATAAAAGACTACTTTACCACCCGCTGCTTAGGGCAGTCCCTGGCTTCCCGCCCTTTCAGTGGGATGAAGACTAGACAGGAAAATATCCTATCATATGCCTGAGAAAGACCTTTCTGTAGGAAGCAGTGATCTCTGAATTGGGTCCATCAACCTGGTTCTATGCGGTATCTTTCCATAGTGGCAGAGAAAACACTATATGTATTCTATCGTGCAAAGGACTCCTAATCAGACACGTATGGACATGTCCAGGGTCCATACCCTCCCAACTCCACTCTTTCCACTCTTTGCTGACTAAAGTCTACCCCTTAAAACTTCACCTTCCTAAACTTCACCTTCCTTAATCCTGCATCTCTGGGATTAGGGGAGGACTATGGATGTCTTCTTCCAGAAAGTATGCTGGCTTCCCTTGAGAAGTGATGAACTGCTGGGCCTTTAGTGGATACTAGTCAGCTGGTGGCTGATGTTCTGGAAAGATGTGGGCCCTCTTGGGCTAGGGTAAAAGCTTTCATTCCTTGTTGTGATGCACTGGATCCCTAAAATTATAGCACCTTTTTCTTTCTCTTCTGTACTTTTTCCCCTGTGGCCATGTCTCACTACTAATATCCACAAAGTCTTATAACATAGATTGACTTCAGGCTCTTAAAGGTAACTAGAATGCTCTACTCTTCTTCAGATTACAAAAGCCCTCCATGTGCAAACTTTATATTATGAAGATGTCACTGAAGTGCTGTAATACGAGGCTAGTGCAAGGGGTCAAAGAGAGAAATCCACATACATATGACCATGGAACCACTTTCAGATATTAGTGCCATGCAGCAGCTACCCATCAACTGGATATGGAACCCAAAGCCCTTAGCTGGACAGTTGCTGACCCTAGAGAAATTTAGAAGCAAAGGGGAATCAGGAAAAAGGCTGCCACATCTTCACTGGCACCTTATATTGCCTCTTGATATTTCTGTGCCATATATAATCTGTGAGAAATAGGTACAATTTACTAGCTTAAGAATCCCCTTGCAAAGAACACCAAAGACACAGGGAAAGTAGCAGCTCAAGAGACAGAAAGGGCCACATAAACCAGAGACTGCATCAGCCTGAGACCAGAAGAACTAGTCGGTGCGTAGCTACCACCAATGACCACCCTGACAAGGAACACAACAGAGAGTCCCTGATGTAGCAGGAGAAAAGTGGGATACAGAACTCAAATTCAAGTAAAAAGACCAGACCAGACTTGGTCTGACTGAGACTGGAAGAACCCCAGAAAGCATGGCCCCAGGACTCTCTGTCAATCCAGAACTAAAACCATTCTCGAGGCCAACTCTTCAGTCAGATTAGACTGGACTATGGGACATAAAATTATACTCGTGAAGAATGTGCTTCTTAGCTCAAGTAGATACATGAGATTAAATGGGCAGCTCCTGTCCAGAAGTGAGATGAGAAGGCACAGAGGGTCAGGAGCTGGTTGAATGGACACAAGAAATCAGGGGTGGAAAGGAGGAATGTGCTGTCACAGTATAGGGAAAGCAAGTAGGGTCACATAACAATGTATGTATAAATTTCTGTATGAGAGACTAACTTGAATTGTAAACTTTCACTTAAAGTACAACAATGGAAAAAAAAAAAAAAAAAAGAATCCCCTTGCCTCACTACAAATAATGTAGAAACAAAAGGGGATAGGAAAAAGTATTCCAGACTCACTTATTAGGTAGTATTTTCCTGACTTCCCCTCAGAGTACGGAGTACCACCAGGTGTTCCAGGCAAACGAGGTTCTAAAAGGCACACAAAACACCCTGTAGCCTCTAGAAATTCA